GAATAGAGTACGGAACGGCTGGTAGCTAACACTGCAGTGTCCCCTTATCCTATGGCATTACAGTTATATGGGTGTTCTTCGTAGGACAGAACCAGTTTTTCCTGTCTTTGATAGTGTAGCTGACACTAGCCTTATTTTAAATACCTCATGGTAAACAAAATCCACCGGTTCCGCAATTATGAAAGGTTGTACTTAAGGTAAGCTCTGTGGAAACCAGATTAGTCTTTACTGCGTTAAAACGTAGGGGGTATCGCACTTTTCTGTAAACGATCGAGGCGCCAGGGTAGTTGATTTTTGTTTAAAAGGCGTCATTTATGCTGTACACCAGAGTATAATAGAAGGATACTAGAAGAAAGATGCACTCACCCTATCGCGGGTTCTTTAATGTACGGAACTACTTGAAACTCTTTGAGGAACGTTGACTGACCGTTAACCGAACTCACGTATCTCGCTCTGCCCTGCCTTGGGCCTCATTTCTCGGGCTCTGATGGCAGCCCCAGCAGCCAGTAGTCTTAGGCAGATAGTATGCCCAGCAAAGACCAGGGAGACTGGAATGGCAATTTCTGGCTTATTGGCCATCGTCAGACAGCTATATCCAGCCCCCACGTGATACACCACCCTAGGCCCGAACTTGCAACCTTTAGATCTGGGTATGACCAGCCGACGACGGCTGACAAGCCAGAAATGGCCATTCTAGTCTCCCTTGTCTCTGCCGGCAATACTATCTGCTTATACTTGAAACTCCATCTCAGGTTTTGACAGGTGCAACCGCTATTATTTTTCCCAGCTCAACCCCAGTAAGATAGGTATTCAGATTAAAACAGACTCCCTTCGAGGGTTATAATATTGGGAGTTACTATTAATCTGCACACCTGACAGTGGTATTTGAAATAACTCACGGGTTGGAGCAACAGGCGTGGGTTCAGGGCTGGATTTTGTTTCACAGAAGAACTTTTTGTTGGGTGTAGAAGTCTCCTATGTCCAGCGGTCTTCCTTAGGAAGATACTTTTGTTTGTAAATCAGCACAGTCTGTAACACGGTTCTGGAGAGTAATATTGCATAGGATAGGGTTCTTTGATCGAACGTTAGCTATCGTTGAGGCCAATGGTATAGACCGGCACTTAGAACAGTTAATTGGAGCATAAGTTACTGTCAGAATATCCTTCCACTCATCATGCCCTGACAGTATTAGACTATAATTACCCGTGACCTGCCTGAACGTCCTCGATCCATTCCCCGTGACTACTATTCATCGGCTGTTTTAGCGTTCGTCGCTTTACGGT